GAATAATATAATAATTATAATATTTTCTGGGCTCGCTAGATAGTGTGGGAGTGTGTGAGATACCAATAATAAGTAGTATTAATCAAAGATCAATGAACAAATTCATTATTGACTGCATCAAACGGCTAAGATTGGTTGGTTCTGTGTGGACCTGTCCCCCTGCAACTGTGTGGGTGGGTGGGGGAAGCTCAGGGGTTGCTTGAGCAGCGATGATCCAGGGGACTGACAAAAGGCAGGGGACCACAAGTACAACTGCAAGTAGCAGAAGCAGGATTGCAAAGTGTAACCTAAGCAAAGAAAAGCTGTAAGGAACATGACAGCTATGAAAGAGAACGGACTTCTCTATCCATCACAGCCACATGATCAAAGGTCAGAGGTCAGAGGTCAAGGATGGGGTGTTGTATTGGGCCTTGTCATGGATCCTATGTTGGGCATAATTAACGGGACAGTGATGGCCCACTATAACTGAGAGGGGTATTTGAAACTGTGTTTCAAAGCAATTTTGAAAGAACTAATTTTTAAAAAAATTAATATATTTTTAACCGAGAGGGGTGTTTGAAACTGTGTTTCAAATTTTAAAAAAATTAATATATTTTTAAATCAAATAAAATATATAATAATTAAATTTGATATAATTCATGAATAATATAATAATTATAATATTTTCTGGGCTCGCTAGATAGTGTGGGAGTGTGTGAGATACCAATAATAAGTAGTATTAATCAAAGATCAATGAACAAATTCATTATTGACTGCATCAAACGGCTAAGATTGGTTGGTTCTGTGTGGACCTGTCCCCCTGCAACTGTGTGGGTGGGTGGGGGAAGCTCAGGGGTTGCTTGAGCAGCGATGATCCAGGGGACTGACAAAAGGCAGGGGACCACAAGTACAACTGCAAGTAGCAGAAGCAGGATTGCAAAGTGTAACCTAAGCAAAGAAAAGCTGTTAGGAACATGACAGCTATGAAAAAGAACGGACTTCTCTATCCATCACAGCCACATGATCAAAGGTCAGAGGTCAGAGGTCAAGGATGGGGTGTTGTATTGGGCCTTGTCATGGATCCTATGTTGGGCATAATTAACGGGACAGTGATGGCCCACTATAACCGAGAGGGGTGTTTGAAACTGTGTTTCAAATTTTAAAAAAATTAATATATTTTTAAATTATTTTAATATACTGATTTTAAAAATAATTTTTAAAAAACAAAAAATATATTATTAACATTTTATTAAAATAAAAAATACTTTAAAAAATAATCATAATCATTTCATCATACACGATATACTCTTTTTCATTTTGCTGTGAGGCCACTACTTTCTTCTCTTCTGACAATATTCCAATTGGTAGCCTTCGACTGGAAGGCAAGCTAAGCTATCTTTATGCTCCTGCTTGAAAGTTCTTGGGTCATCTTTTGCTTTTTAGGTTTTTTTTTTTTTTCTCCATTTGTTATTGGCCAAGCTTCCTCGAAATGGATCCTAAATTTCTTATCAAATGGTTTTCCATGCTTTACCGTTACATTTCACCAACGTCATGGGTGAAGTCTCCTCCAACATGAATTGGGACGTACGATGATATTTTCTATTCTTTCTAGTGATATTTTCTCTTGACAAAATTAGCACACGGCAGGTTTAGAGCCGTTTGGAATGTATTATAATTCTAAAAAATTTTAATTTTTTATAATATAATAATTATAATATTTTCTGGGCTCGCTAGATAGTGTGGGAGTGTGTGAGATACCAATAATAAGTGGTATTAATCAAAGATCAATGAACAAATTCATTATTGACTGCATCAAACGGCTAAGATTGGTTGGTTCTGTGTGGACCTGTCCCCCTGCAACTGTGTGGGTGGGTGGGGGAAGCTCAGGGGTTGCTTGAGCAGCGATGATCCAGGGGACTGACAAAAGGCAGGGGACCACAAGTACAACTGCAAGTAGCAGAAGCAGGATTGCAAAGTGTAACCTAAGCAAAGAAAAGCTGTAAGGAACATGACAGCTATGAAAGAGAACGGACTTCTCTATCCATCACAGCCACATGATCAAAGGTCAGAGGTCAGAGGTCAAGGATGGGGTGTTGTATTGGGCCTTGTCATGGATCCTATGTTGGGCATAATTAACGGGACAGTGATGGCCCACTATAACCGAGAGGGGTGTTTGAAACTGTGTTTCAAATTTTAAAAAAATTAATATATTTTTAAATTATTTTAATATACTGATTTTAAAAATAATTTTTAAAAAACAAAAAATATATTATTAACATTTTATTAAAATAAAAAATACTTTAAAAAATAATCATAATCATTTCATCATACACGATATACTCTTTTTCATTTTGCTGTGAGGCCACTACTTTCTTCTCTTCTGACAATATTCCAATTGGTAGCCTTCGACTGGAAGGCAAGCTAAGCTATCTTTATGCTCCTGCTTGAAAGTTCTTGGGTCATCTTTTGCTTTTTAGGTTTTTTTTTTTTTTCTCCATTTGTTATTGGCCAAGCTTCCTCGAAATGGATCCTAAATTTCTTATCAAATGGTTTTCCATGCTTTACCGTTACATTTCACCAACGTCATGGGTGAAGTCTCCTCCAACATGAATTGGGACGTACGATGATATTTTCTATTCTTTCTAGTGATATTTTCTCTTGACAAAATTAGCACACGGCAGGTTTAGAGCCGTTTGGAATGTATTATAATTCTAAAAAATTTTAATTTTTTAATATTTTTTAATTGTTTTAATTCACTTATATCAGAAATAATTTTTAAAAAAATAAAAAAATATTATCTTAATGCATTTCTAAATTAAAAATAATTTGAACAGCAACCGCTACCACAATCATAAATAAACAATTAATAATAGTAGATGTTAGTACTAGTTTTGAAACCCACCTCGATAGGTTGATCTAGGATTTGATTGATCCATGGCTAGAACCAAGTCTGGTTTAAGAAAAAATAAGGAAAGTTAAAAACTTGGCAAGCCTAATAGGTTAACCTAGTCAAAAATCCGATTACAATTCATTAATTATTAATTTTTTTAATTAAAATAATATCATTTTGATTAATAACAAAAAAAATTAAGATAACTTGGGTAACTTGATTAATTAATCAAAACTATTTGGATCTTGAAACGTGTCAAGGACTGGGTTTTAAAAATCTAAATACGTTACCAGTCACATTGCTAAACTGGTTCTTCAACTAGAGAATATCACAAGATAGGGCATGATTCTATTTTATGATTGATTTTTTTTTTTAATTATCTTGATGATTGAACATTTGTTTTGATTAAAATGAATATTTAATTAGTTTGTATATATTTTAATTAATTTTATTATTTTTAAAATTAACAATTATATAAATTTTAGATAATCCTAAGATTGATTGAACATTCTTGTGATCATCTTATATGTTGCACCTTTACTCTGTTATTGTCCAGGTTTCTCAATTGTTTGAAATAAACTACAAAACAAATAGATTATTGGAATAATCCAGTCTCAGAATCCAATTTGATGGTATCATTACCTAACATGGCAAATAATCAACTGGTACAGGCATCTGATTCTTTTATGCATCTTAAAATCAGGTATGATGGAAGAATGTTCAAAAAATAAGCAACTTTAAACCAACATTCTCTCCTATCATGCTCAGCGTTCCTGTATCTTTGGACTTTCATTTCTATATCTTTAGACTTTCAATGTTGCATTATCCAAAAGAATATTATAAAATAAATTGATTTTGCGGTGATCTCACAATTATACCATACATCGATTGCATTAAAAATTGCAAAAATAAAATTACATTATTTAGTTCCTTGATGTTTTACTTTTATATCTATTTGATCCTTATAATTTTAGATATTCATATTTCACTCCAAAAAACTATTTTTACTATGCTTCAATTCTTAAGAGAAAAGACAAGAAGTCGCGGCAAAAGAGGAAAATAGAGAAAAATTATATCTTTCACATTCTAACAATAAAAAACACCAACCTTGGTGCAAATAGATTTTTTTGAAGAGGGTATTTAATGAAAGAGGTTTGGATGATCTTAACATGTAAAAAAAAAAAAAAAGATTGGGTTTTGAATATATTTGATTTGACTTATTTTTAGAATTTTAGATTAATTATATAGTGTTTTAGAGTTATAAATGAGGCTATTGAAGTTCATATAATAATTTTTAGGAGTTTTAATGTGAAACTGAAATTAGAATTTTTAATTCAAATAACTTGAAATCTAATTTTTCAATGATTGTAGATGGCTGAAATTGCCTATCAGTTGAGGCCCATGATCGCCTAGCCTTACTTGGCCCTCTTCTTCTTTAAACTTTCTGCAAATTTTTAAATAAAATCCTGTTTAAATAAATAATTGTAATTATTTTTCAAAAAAATTAAATTATAACATATTTCTCAAATAAGATTAGAGGATTTTTATGGTTATATTTTTAATTTTTTTAATAATTGCATATGAAACAACATGCCTAGCGTTAAAAAGAAATTACACATGAATATTCATTGACAATAAAATAATTTTTTTAATATCAATGTTTTTATATTATTTTCATGAATTACTTATTTTTTTTCATGCAGTTGTATAAAAATGATTGAGATATTATTTTTTATTTTTTTTTATTGAAAATTGGTTCAATAAATTTTGTTTTGAAAAATCACACTCCTGATAAACATCAAAATTAAAAATAGATAAATAACGAAAAAGGAGATTTTGCTAAGGAAATACATTTGTCCTTCTAAATTTAGATTTTTTTGAATTCATATGGATTTGTATTTTAATTTCTTTAAGTTATTATTCAAAAAATCACGTTGTTGATGAAAAATTCACTGTTGCTTCAAATAAATAAATAAAACATTTACTCATTGAGATTCCTTCGAATATTTTTTTAATAAAATCGTTATAAAAAATAATATTTTTTTTTGAAAATTAAAAAAAACCCCTAAAAATAGATTGTTTCAGCTTAGAAGTCTAGAAGGCAAGACATACCAGAAATTAAATTCCAATAAGAACGCCCTTCATTTTCTCCTCCAAACTCTCTCATATTCCACACAATCTCATTCCACCCTACAAATTTCACCTCTCAAGACTCCAAAAAACAAGGATCTCCATTCTATTTCTTATTCTTACAACTCTCATTGATCATCTTTGCTTCCTCTACCTCTTCACAATTCACAAGGCCCGACATTCTTTGGTGGCAAAATGGTATGTGCTTCCTTCCTCTCTACCTCTGCATTGCACAACAATGTATCAAATATTGCTATTGAAATATACGATGCATGATGGCTGCTACTGCTAAATTTAGGAATTTCATATGATCAGTTCATTCTGATAATGTCACGATCAACACTGAAAAAATTTGGTCTCGCAAACTTGTCTGGTTCATGGTGGTGGAGCATGTTGTTGATAGAGAGAGATCTAATTGTGTCGCATTAATCTTTTTTGGCATTTAAAGCTTCACAATTTGAGCTTCCGCATTAGTTTGAGTTCCTTTAAGGTGACAGCCACCATCCTCTTTGGCCATTCTGAATACAAGATTATTATTTCACCTCAATTTAATTTTTTCTCAATTTCAGGAAAAGTTGTAAAATTAACCTCCCCGTGTCTGATGTTATATTCATGAATCTTCCAAAGCTATATATATATATTTGAAAGATGCATGAGGTTTAGTAAAATCCAAAACTTTTACCGTCTGTACTGTTATGTTAAAAACAATATAAAATGTTGATTTTTCATAAAATAATAAAATAAAATGTTGAAATGATTACAAACAGTTCTTCTCTGCTTAAGCAGTTTGTCGGTGACAATTAACTATTAATTATATCGAGCTAAAGTTATATTTCTTTTTTTCTTTTTGGTCTATGGTATAGGCAAATTCAGCATCTGGAATGGCTGTTAATGATGGATGCAAGCTGAGGTTCCTGGAACTAAAAGCGAAGAGGAGCCACCGATTTATCGTGTTCAAGATCGAAGAAAAGACTCAACAAGTGGTGGTTGAGACATTGGGAGAACCTCAACAGAGCTATGATGATTTTACTGCCAGTTTGCCAATCGATGAGTGCCGATATGCTGTCTACGATTTCGATTTCACCACTGATGAGAATGTTCAGAAGAGCAAAATCTTCTTCGTTGCATGGTAATTAACATCAAGCAAATATTGCAATGCAATCATTATTATAATACAATTCTTTTATATATGCGAATCTATCCATTTCTTCATTTAAAATATCATACATATTTGGCTCCAGGTCTCCTGATGCATCGAAGATAAGGAGCAAAATGTTGTATGCTAGTTCAAAGGACAGATTCAGAAGAGAGCTTGATGGGGTTCAAGTTGAGTTACAGGCCACAGATCCCAGTGAAATAAGCTTGGATATTGTCAAGGAACGAGCGTTTTAAACAAAGGCTTAATTAGGGTTTCTTACACTTGTCACTATAAATTATTAGTGCCAGAGTTTTTGTACTCTTGCCTTACAAGCCTTATTATTGACCATGTATGGATCACTTGAGTTGTGGTAGAATTGGTCAGGTTAGGACAATTTCTATTATCAACTGAATTTTTCTGCAAGATTTGCGACAGTGGGATCTTCATCCTTGAACATGGCTTTCAGAGTTTACTTTTACCCTGCCAAGTTATCCATTCGACCCCCAAAAAAGACTAAATGAATGAACTTGACCATCCAAGATCTTAATTTAGCAAGCAATCCCCGTACGTATGGCAAGAACCAGCGGGTAGTTAGCTCTGTAAGACAATCGGTGCCATCCAAGACTAATATTCACTGCTATTTTAGAATCAACCTCAAGAGGTTGAACATGCGATGCCCTAACCCTAGGTGAGGTTTAATTAACCAGCAACTATCACACCCCACTTTAGAGACAAGAAATCATGTGTGAACTTAAACCACTTTAGAGAGAGTGGTTCTTAGCATGCACAAACTGCTACAACTAGCTACATGAAGAACATTTGATACAACAATATATGCATCGATATTTACACATTAGGTCCATAACTCGGGTGAGCCGAAATGTTGTGGTCCTGAACTTACAGAAGTACAAAAGAGAACTAAGTTGATAACTTTCCATCATTAGCGTTGCTTCTTGGATGCATGCAGCTGCTGGTGTCGATAGACATGCCTGAAATTAGTTCATTTTATTGATTAGAAATTGAAGACTATCGGACAGTACTGTTATAATCTGTTGATCGGACGAGTATATGTATTTTGCTGCATATAGGCCACTGCTGATATCTTGGGAGTAAACGGTACTCCATGCCTTTCTTTCTTTTTTTAATACCTAATTTTAATAACATTGTAAACACATCGATTTGAACGTAAGTAGTTTACATGAATTTCTAACAAACATCTTTAGTCTAACTACCTACCTAAAGTTAGTCCGAAATTGTCTTTAAGATTAAACTTACAGACACCCCAAAAAATAAAATGTGGCTAGACGAATCAACATTCATCTTTTCCTTTTCTTTTTACTATTTATTGGAAACTCAACTGGGCTTTAAATCGCAAACGTTATAGACCATCGCTGGAGGTTTAGGCCCTGCATTAGAGGCTTAGCCTTGCTAGCGATGGGTTAATCTTGTATATTTGTTGGAAAATCATTGAGACGGGTTAATCTTGTATATTTGTTGGAAAATAATTTTTTTAAAAAAATAATTTTTTTTAAAATTTAATTAATTTTTAATGTTTGATAATATCATAAAAAATAAATTAAAAAATATTTTATAGTATTTGACTATGTTAAGAAAAAATAAATTGAAAAATAATTTATTAATGTAAAAGAGGATGAAATTAAAAAAAAAATTTATAAACTATTTCAAATAAAATAAATAACAATAAAAAAATTCAACAGATAAAAATTAAAAAATGATAAAATTAAAAAAATAATAAATTATTTTCAAATAAAATAAATAGAAATCAAAAGTAATAAGATCAAATTTGATAAATAAAAAATTCAACTAAAAAAATAAAAGAAAAATAAATAACAATAAAATGAATGACAATGAAAACCAAAATCGTTATAAAAATAAATTAAATAAAAAATTAAGGAAAAAACTTGATATAATTAACACATAAAAAATTATCTTTTTATTTTTTACAATTTATGAAAAGTGTTTTTTATGTAAAATAAAAGAAAAATAGATTTAAAAAAAATAGATTTCAAAAACTAAGCCCTTTTTCTAGTAAAAAATATTTTTTATTTGTCAATTTTTTTAATAATAAATAAATATAGAAAAGTTTGACTTTTAAAAATGCATTTTTCAAGGAAGAAACGGTCCATGGATTTCAATAATATGAGTTTTGAGATTTGGTTGACCAAGGATAAAAAAACCTGGGTTTTGAAAGTCAAAAGTCAAGAACTGCAGGCCGAGGATACTGAAATTGAGCAAGGCGAAATGTCTCGAAGGGTTATTATGCTCAAACATTGAGGAGTTTTTAGGGAAAAAAGAAGAAGAAGAAAGAATCTACATCCAAATCCCAAGCAAATCTCTCAGCGCAAAAGTTAAAACAGCATATTAAACGTTGTCGGCTAATTTCCAGTTAGGACAAGAAGTCGAATTAGAAAATGCCTTATTCTCTTTAAAGAGTTAATAATGTCAACAAAATTAGGACGTGAGAGTTTGTGTTTGAATAGAACACTGTAAGGAAAATGATTTACAAATCAGCCTTCCCAAGAAAATTAGCATTTTTCACTGTTCGACTTCTTGCTTACAGTGTTGTCAATGCTATATAGTTTGTATATTCTTGCTTCTGATGATGCCATGAAGATTCATCAGACATTGTTTATTAGCTTCTATGGCGTCATTCTAGAAAAAGAAGAACCCATTGAAGTTATTAACAGTACGTTGGTCATACGTTGGTTAGTTATAAATTTAATAATGTTTTAGTATTATTGTACTCTGTTTTTCTTTCAACAGGTTTTGGATTCAAACATCTTACTTGTAACAATAAATAAATACGATATTCCTCGTTGATTTTTTTATTTTAGGGAAGTCATTATCAATGCAGTTAATTGTTTTTCTTACAAAATACAAGAGCTAATCCATTTGATTTTGATTTTGATTTTGAATGTTTCTTCGTTCAAGTTCCATCCGTTTTTATTTTTAATTTACTCTTCTAATTTATCCTGCCAAGTATTGCTTTTACTATAGTTCTGTCAAACTTCTTTAACCACTGTATGTTTATAATTTCTTAGATGGCTTTTCTTTTTTTCTTTATAGATTGAGCAGTTCAATTTTCTGAAGTTGCTTAATCTCACATTGTACAAGCTTGAGTAACAGACGAGGCATCCAAACCTAGCGACTTGGGAACTAATAAAACTAGAAAACGTAGCAAGAACAAATGACCGTAGAATTCTCCATTGCTTTTGCAAGTTATTAAAAGTGTACTAAGTGAATTAAATCGCATTGCCAATGGGAGGCTGGATGCATGCGAGAACCCTAAGGACACTGGGATCTCTAGCAGTTAACAGGATCTCCATTACGACCATAGCCTCACTTAAATATTATTTTAATATATTAAAAAAAATTAAATCGCATGATTAGTCGGGTCCATACGCTTAAAAATACAAGTTTTGAGTTTTTACCAAGCAATGTACCGGTGGGTTTTTTGCTTAAAAAAACCTCCACCGCCAAGGATTGCGGGGAGGTGCTGAATAGATACGACTGGGTGATAATTTATAGATTTTCAAACACCACAATCACAGTTATTTCATCATTCATCATCGAATGACTCGGATTCGTTGCAACTACGGCATTGACTATTTGAATGATGCCAGAATTTTGGAAGAATAAGAAAGTGTTATTTGTCAATTTAATTACATGGTTTAGTTTGGTCAGCTTAACTGTCTCTTTATTTCATGTTCAACTTGCTGTCCGCTATTTTCTCTCGACTAGTAATTTTTGAATGGTAGGTGAAAGAAATCGATGCGATTTAATTTCAAAATATTGATTGAGGTACAAAAGTTCAAAGCTGAAATGCATAATTAATCTAGCGAGGTAACTGGAGGGTGGAATTAGTTGCGTTTTCCATCCTTCCGGTCTTCGGAAATTAATTTATAATTGTCTCTGACACAAACGCAAATTCAGCTTTAATTAACAAATAAATTAACATTTTAATGGCCGCCACCTCAAGTGAATCAGAAGTGATCCATGACCTGGTTCTAGATCCAACCAAGTTTCAACAACAGTAGAAAGAGATATTCACCAGTACGACTTCATTAAAAAACGCGAGCTAACTAGTGAGTTAGTGAGTTAGCTGGCCATTTAATAAAAATTCAGTTAAGATTCGTTAATTTTTTTATAATTTTTTAAAAGATATTAGTTTATTTTTTTATAAAATAAAAAATTAAATTTATTTTAATTAACTTAGATCAATCAACTAAACTGTAACTTATCCAAATCAATTCAAATTAAATTTTAAAACTATGTACTCGTGACTTGTATAAATCTATTCAAATTGAGTTTAAAAACTATATAAGATGATTTTCAACTCTACGTTTATTCTTCTGTTTATTTTTTTAAATATGAATTGTTTTGCTTTTAAAATACGCTACTAAGTTAATGTTTATTAGTTGATTAATGTCGCATAAATCATGTACGGAGTTTAAAGATACAGAAAGTTAGCAGAATTATGACGGTATCCCACTACCTTACTACATCGATTGACAATTAGTAAATTAAATTACTGATTAAACCTTCCAGCATCTCTTAGCATTAATTTTTGTGTTTCCCTATTGTTATGACTTCGTGACAAAAAGTAAAGTGATTGATTAATTTATTTGATGTAAACTTAAAAGGAACCTACTTTAGGAGCGAGCACTATTAAAAAAATAATAATCTAATTATTCCAAATTCTTAAACCAATTCAGTTTAAAATTCTTCCCTGTATATATATATATACACACACACTGAGAAATTTATTGCTCATTAAAAGTCCGGCCATATTAACACACACACTGAGAAATATATTGCTCATTAAAAGTCCGGCCATATTATGTATGTTTATTTTTCTTTCCTGTACAATAAAGAAATAATTTTTTAATAATTAATTTTAATAAAAAAATAAAATTTTAAATTTACAAATATAGATGTTACTTGCATGATGACATCAACGATGAAATCGACAATGAAAGTTTCTTTATTTCAATAGAGTCAGATTTTTTAAAAATCCTTATGGAATCCTATAATTGATGTTTGGTTCAGAAAGTTTAAGGTTAATATATTTATAAATAATTTTTTATTATTTTGATTTGGCAAGTATTTGAATTTTAATAAATTAAGTATTTTATGAATTTGACATGTAATTAATAAAAAAAATTTCTGGCAGGAGGCTAATATCACTATTGCCAGAAGAGCATATGAGAGAATCACAATGATATTAGATAAGATTGAGTTCAAAATATGACATCTTAATCTTAACCAATAATGTTTTTCTTAGAACCAGTTGTGTGATTTATGGTATGAGAAGCAGAA